TCACGTGCCGTCATCGTCATTCTGTTTGAATTATGCGCGGGATTGCGCATTGGGCAAAAAATAAAAAAATAATAAAATTGCGCATCGGGCGCACTGTCGTCGTAGTCATCCAACCGAACAATTGCCTCATTCGGGACAACTGAAATCGCAAAATTTCATTATTTTTAAGACCAAGATTTAATGGCTTAAAGCAGTACAATTGTTTTACTTGTTTATAAATAACACTGTAATAAAGTGTCTACTTAAATGTACTAAAACTGCAAATGCTGCGTTCATAATTACTGTTATTATTACATGCGGATTAATGCCGACAGCATTGCTTGATTTAGAGGCGCCATCTAGCGGCTTTGTGTGGAGCTCTCCTGAGCTCACTGTATTCTTAAGTTTATACATGTGAAAATTATTGCTGAAATAAATTATTGCTGATGCAAAGTAGTGAAGGAATGCCATTTGTTAATGATATTTAACGTCAGCCTAAGATAGCTTTGCTCAAAGTGTTAAACTATTTGATTAAACATTAAACTGCTAAATAACTAAATTTGCTTATCCGAATTGAGTAATTACAGAAATATTAAATACATCAATGTGAAATATTTATTTCAAGAAAATAGTTGCTTATAGGATTTAGCCTCCTCCATGCTGAGTTATGGCTTACAATTAATTTGTCTTAATTATTATTATTAATTAGAGAATATTTGTAGTGTTGTATTTGTGATGTTACTTTTGGGTAAATTATCTTTATTGTTAATGTTTTTTTTTTTTTTGTGGGTTGGGTGGTTTCCTTTTTTTTTGTCCTTGGCCTTGTAGTGTTGTATTTGTGATGTTACTTTTGGGTAAATTATCTTTATTGTTAATGTTTTTTTTTTTTTTGTGGGTTGGGTGGTTTCCTTCTTTTTTGTCCTTGGCCGATCACATGCCTGAGTATTAGTAAACTGTCTGCTTAATATCTACTAACACTTTATTTTGATGGTCGCTCAACAGACGTTCTACAGACTATAAGTAACTTGTAGTTGATATATAAGTTGACATGTAATTGCAAAGTTACTTACAGTTACAGAATCTCTAAAGTGGATTATCGAAATAAAGTGTAACCAATAAATCTGAGCACAGAATGTGATGTTGTTGAGATCTCTTCTAAACCTTATGTGAGAGATCCAGTGTCTGTAGCCTGTAGTCTGTAAAAGTCTGTAGCCTGTAGTCTTTAAAAATCTGAGCACAGTGTGTGATGATGATAATGAGATCTCTTCTAAAACTTTAAAGGAAAACATTGTGAGAGTGTAATCGTTTTGTCTCAGAAGACAAGTGTGAGAAGCAGGAAACTTCTCACAGAAGAAAAAGTCTCGTTGATGTTAAAGTAACCTCATTTCTGTCTAGGAGAAAT